GGGGGGGGGGAGGGTGGGGTTGGGCTGGGGGGGGGGGGGGGGGGGGGGGGGGGGGGGGGGGAATAGACCAATTGACAGGAAAACATGGGAGGCAGCGTGGCTCTGAATAGCAGCTGCAGGGGAGCGCAGCTGGGGCGGAGGAACCATTTTGTCTGCGTCCTGCTTGTGGGCTCCCCACTGGGGCATCGGTTAGGTCATGCTTAGAACCACACCAGGTGGAGAAGCCCTAGTGGGGCCTTCTTTCTCACCGTTTTTAACAGCATTTCGCACCAGGATGTGGTGAGTCTGCCCCCTCCCCAGCTGTTGTTTTGGGGCTGGAACCTGGAAGCAGCCTCATGTGCACCAGCTGCTGAGCAGCCGCCACGGTCTCCTCCAGCCTTCCCCACCCCGGTGTCCCTCCAGTTTGCTGGACGGCTGCTTCCCACCCAGCGTGGTTGGTGGCAAGTCCTAGAGGCCTCCCCACAGTTGGCTTGGATCGTCTGCTTGGCTAGCATTGCGCTGGCAGCAGCTCGAGCCAGTCCTGGCACGTTTGCCACCTTGCGTGCTTCCGAAAGCACTTCCCACCCCCCAATGGCACATCATGCGTGCAACATCGTTCTTGCGGTTGTTACAGAGATGTTTAACCCGCCTTCCAGGGCACGCTGCCCTTACTTCAGAGGCTCGCTTTGCCCACAAGGACAGAGACAACTTTAGGCCTGCTTTTTAAAAACCAGCAATAGGGAAGCCATACATATCTCCCAGTGGTGGCCCCACACCTCTGGAGCCCCGGGGCCACCACCAAAAATGCACTGTCCCTAGCTTCTGCTGTTCTAAGGACCTCTGCTGTTCCTGACACTTGGGCTGGTGCCGGCGGTCCTTCAGAGAATATGCTCCAAGACAGCCGGCGTAGAACTACCCTGAAAATCACAAGCTGCTCAGCCCAGCATGTTGCAGTGTGCATTGGCCAACTCGACTTATTTCATGGCCTTAGCTGCCTTTTCTCTTTCGGCTTCTAGGATTACCCCTCCTCCAGAGCTCCAAACCCAGGACTTCTTTCCTGGTGACCTTTTCAGCCCGGCTCATCAGCCAATGCCACCTTCTGCCTTTTACTGGAGAGGAGAAAGTGCAGCGCTGGGTCAAGACCCCAGCTTGTCACCGGCTTCTGCTTCCAGGGCTCCCTTCTCAGCCTACCACGGGGCTTTGGACATTCCTCTCTCAGCCCTGCAAGCATCCCTGACAAATGAAGAGCTGCTGCAAGCAGGAATCCAGGCCTCTCTGCAAGACATGGTGGAGGAAGAAGTGAAGCTTTCAAAATCTTCAGTTTCTTCTCTTCGGTAAGAGCTTGGGAGAAATCTTGGAAGGGTGGGGAGGAGAGCAAGGTTCCATGGGAGGGAAGGGATGTGTACGCATGTTGAAAGAGGGAGAGCGAGGCACATTCCCCCTCCCCCCCCCGATGATGCCCACCTTCTGCGTCATCCTCCCCGCTCCCTTTGCAGGCTTCAGCAGCTTCAGAAAATGGGCTTCCCTACCAAACGGGCCGTGGTGGCCCTGGCAGCCACGGGCCACGTAGAGGGCGCCGTCTCTCTGTTGATTGGAGACCACGTTGGGGATCAGGCCGTGGTGACAGCGGCGAGCCGGTCCGAGCGTCCCAAGGGTGCCACGCCAGGTCCCAGCCAGTAAGTGAAAAGAGTGCGGCAGCAGTGGTCCCCTGGATTTCCAAGGCTGCGCACAGGATCTGGGCAGGAAACCAGCTGCACCCAGAGCTGAGGCAGCTCTTTGTGGGCGGAAGTGGAGAAGAATGAAGCGGGAAGGCGGGCAAGTGTGAAGCTGGACCAGCGTTCCAACAGAGGGCCGGGCCCCTCTCCTCAGCAGGTTTTCTGAATGCAGTCTTTCCTGTGCCCTGCATGAGTGAATGCAGCAGAACTACATTTGTGCGCTCATGTGGCAGGGGCAGGGGTGCAGACCCTTGTGCATGAGACAGAATTTTATGGTTTGATGTACCTGCACACATTCAGTGTGCTGCCGACTGGGGTATGAGCAGGCAGACCTGGGCCCACCAGCAGCAGCATCCTCTTCAGGGCATCCCTCGGTCCCAAACCACTTTTAAGAGATGTGCACAGGTGCAGACTGGTCCTCAAACATTATCATATCCAGCATTGTGGCTTTCTGGGGATACCTGTTCTGTCTCATGATTTTCCAGAGGTCTAGACTGCGGCTTACCTACATAGGAGTGTGCAACAAACTACCTGGAGAAAATCAGTGTTTCATTTCCTTCAAAAATGCTGGACAGGTAGAAGAATCAGCTACTTTGAATGAAACATCTCTCAAAGCCAGATGCTCCTCGTAGCACAGAGGCTGAAGAAACCAGCCGGGCTCTAGAAGTGGGGTGGGTGGGCTCCATTTTCTGGGTATTGGATTATGTACTGTGTTTTTTGCTAATTGAAGTATCTTTCCTCGCAGTGCAAACACATACAGGCATAGCAGCCTTGCTCAGAGAGCACAAAAGGTGTGGACGAGGAGCAGCTGATATTTGGGCTGTGGCTCTTTGGGAGAAGATCAGGGGGCTGTTTTGTTCCACGTTAATCTGGAATAAAAATCCAATTCTCTCCTCATTTGTTAACACAGTTTCTACTTACTGCCACATCCGTACCTTTGCAAAGGTGGCATGCAAATTAAATCCACTTTGTTCTTGTACCCACCCCGTTTCCTAAATTGCTAGGAGGCTTACAAGACCCTGCATCTGTTCTGCATGGAGATCACAGAAATGGCAGGTGTGTGTCTCTGGAATTGGCGGAACGGCTGCCTCCTTGTACTCTGGAACCTCTTCACTCTTACGGTCATTTTCACCCTGATGTTCTCCTCCCCCCGCCTGGTGATATCCTGCTCCTATATTCTAGTGAGCCCAGGGAATGTTCTGTGCTACTGGTCTCTCCTGCCATTGGCTTGCCTGCTCTGACATCATGATAGGCTGGGTGATGGACAGGTGATGGGTGGGCTTGGGCATTTGCATTCTAAAGTCAGTGGGCAAGCATTGTGGAATCCAAGCTGCCTTCCTGCTTGCACATCATGGAACTTCTGGGGAGTTTCTGAGCTTTTTAGCAGCAAGGGCAGGTGCTTTTCTTCAGCTGCCCACCCCTCCATAGGACGAGGTACGCCGTGTGCCTGCAAGACAGCATCCTCCGAGGCCTGCATGGCTCCCTGCCCCTCTTTTGTGGGTCCCCTCAGCCCCTCTTTCCTGTATCCTTCCAGAGACATTCCGCTTTTTCTCCAAAAAATCAGTGTCTGCAAAAGGGCAGAGATCAAGCCCAGCACTTTTACAGTGATGCAGACAGCAGGCTCCTGGCCCAGATTTCCAGCATCGGTTTCACTGGTTTGTGCTGTAATGTCTCAAGAGTGTTCCCACAGACTGCTTCACCCAGGCTTGCTGTTCATTCAGACTGAACAGCGAGTTGTGGAAGGAGGCGACAGGAACACTCGCACCAGCCAGGCCTGTCTCTGACAGAGAGCTGCTGCAAACGCTTTCCGTCGCGTCTCCTTGCTCAGCGGCCTGGTCCCCCATGGCACACATGCCTGTCAGGCCAGGAGCAGAAACTCACCTGGCTCTAGAGCAAGATTCAACGTCAGAGAGACTTTTGGGGTGTTGGGCAGAGCTGAAGGTCAAGGGCATCCCAATCCCTTTTTGATCCCAAGGTCAAAAGGTTGCAGCATATTGCAGCATCCAACTTCCTACCGTCAGTAGCAAAGCCTTCGGTGAGCGTTTGTGCTCCGAGAATAGGGGACGGCTGTACTGAAGCTGGGTACCATCACATGACCCATGGGGGAGGGAGCTGGGGAAACCAGGGCACTGGGGCGGCGTTTCTGCACCCTACACCACGCAGCTGCGGGGAAAGGCCCCTCTCCTGCTCAGGTGGGAACAGCCTACAGGTTTGTTCGATGCACAACCCAGAGTCTGGGGCAAGGTTTTCACAATTATGGAGCAGGACTTCTGTGGGATGCTGATACTCTCTCTCACCTTACACATAACCCATAGATCACGCTTCCAAACCTGGCACCTTTCAGATGTATTGGATTGTAGGTCCCATTATCCCCAGCCCACATAGCCATTGGAGCAGATACAGGCATTTAAGAAGCTGCAGCAAAGCACATCAGCCTAGCCCACTGCAGTCTCTCGTTGATCAAAACAGAGGCCAGTGTTCCATGAAGCTTTATTGATCCTGATGGAGCCATCCACTCTTCTCAGCCAAAGTCCCAGGGAGTAAATTATAGAAGAGCAACTCTTTCCTCTTTCTCCCTGGCAGATCTGCTTCAGCCCCAAACGGACTGGCAGATTTCCACGCACGCAGGGCTGTGGACCCTCAACCAAATGGCACCCCCTCCCTCCATGGGCATGTTGGTTTTCTACTTGTTCCTCACTGCATCTGTGGTCCACAGCTTTGATGCAAGAGTTGCTGCTAGGATTCGGCCCTGTCGCATAACATCACCAGCTTGGCATCCATAGATCTGATCACAGCTCGTGCAAACGGACTCGGATGCCGTACATTTCCCCGCGAGGCAACAGTGGCTGGCCGATGACGCAGCGCTGGCCACCCAGGCCGGCATCTCCAGCTTTCAGGAGGAGGGGAACCAGTTGCGCTGATGCTTTCAGCTGCTGAGGGTCTAGCTGGGAAAACTTTCTGTGGCCAGCACCCCCTCAGCCTGGCACACCAAGCAGCTGCGACTTCACCTGCCTGCACAGCTCGCCTGCGTGCCTGGGAGAGGCTTCCCCCGCCCCGCTGCCACTGCTGAATGCGAGAGCTGGCCCAGAATGGCGAGAATCTTTTACAAAATTAAAACCAATTGTCCTTCTTTTGAAGGAAAAATCAAAGGAAGTTTTGCCTCCAGATGGTCCCTTGGGTGTCCTCCCTTATTGGCGTGCTGGTTTTCTCACACCGATGGATCAGCCACAGGCAAGGGAGCCACTGAAGAGCCACCTGTTCTGTCAACCAGTGATGCCAGGAAAGTGCTCTTCGTGGCCCACTCTGGCCTGTGCGGCCTTCTGGACCAGGCCTGCCGCATGCTCCACACCAGGAGGGACGGTGCAGATAGAGCCCTGGCCCAGGTCCTCTTTGGGGAGCCCTGAGTTCAAATCCCCACGCAGCTGTGAAGGCCTGGGAAAGTACAACCTCCCTCACAGGGCTGTTGTGAAGATGATACAGGTTGGCACCATCTGTATTCGCAGGGCCAGCTCTGAGGTTCTGAGGGCCCTTGGACAAGGCCGCTTCCCTGGCCCCCCCTTGGAGAGTCCCACTCCCCCCTGCCCTGGTCGCCAACTGTCCCTCTGCCTCTCCCATCATGGCAACACTGGCTTGCTAGACAGGTCCCTGTCAAGCTGACCCACCTCCTCACTGCCACCACTGCCCAGTCCGAAGCAAGGGGCAGGTGAGCAAGTGGGGGGCTCTGGGGAAGCAGAGCCACTCTCAGTGGGAGCCACGAGCAAGCACCCAACCACGCCCTGGCCCTGGCCCTGAGCTTCTCCAAGGATGGCTGGGAACTGCCTTCTCGACAAGACAAGCAGGCATCCAGGCACACAGCTCAGACTACCTGGATGTGACCTGGCCGTTTACCCATTAAACATGGTGCAGGAGTGGGCACCGCAGCTCCCGGGTTGCTGGGTGAAAGCTCCTTCCGCTGCTAGAAGCAGAAGAGGCTAAGCTCAGCGAGTCGAAAAGGCTCGCTCCCGCCTTTCCCAGCTCTAGCAAGACGTGTTGAAGACTCAGCCAGGCAGCTTCAGCATGCGCAGCACATGTGCCGAGCCAGAGCTGCGGCCCAGGACCCGAGAGGGCAAAATCCCACTCTCCAGACTGCATGCGTTTCTGTGCGGGGGAAGGCAGTCTCAATGCTGAAGTTGCACCGCATTTAATCCTGCCCCTGCCCGGTGGAGGGACGGGGCTGAGGATGAGCAAACGGGCAGGCGCGACTCATCTATCCAACTTGCTTTTAACCAGAGTCAATGAGTGCAGGTGCAACCGATGGGGGAAGCGGATGGCCTATGATTTATTTTTTTAACCAAGAGAGAAGACCAATCCTCAAAATGGCAACTCGGTACTGGGTAGCAGGAACAAGCAGTGCCTCCCCGCAAACTAGAAACACAAAAGGGATCTAGGCCTCCTACAATCAGAAAAATGAATTAAAAAGCACGGTTGTGGGAGCTCCGGGCCAGCCCTACCATGTAGCAATGTGAGGCAGGCTGTATCGGCAAGCAAAGTTTAGGGGAACCAATGAAGGTAGGAGGTGACGCCTGCATGGAGGGAGCCTTAACCCCTTTTGCCCAGCCGTGAAGGCCGGGCCGGGCCGGGATAGGAGGAGGTGCCATTTGGTGCAGCAAAATGCCTCTGGCCACACTGGGGGTGGCAAAGGGGTGGCACGTCCCTCCTGCCAGTCAGGGAAGGCGTTGGCATTGGCCAGTCAGTGCCTGACACTGACTTTGGCATTCCAGGGGCTATCAAAGGGACAGGATCCAGGGACTGTGGTCGAGAAGTCAGTGAAACTGGGGAGGCAGGTGTGAAGAGGTAAATTCTCCGGCCAGGAGCATTGGGAAAGGCTTTGACGAGGACCCTCAGCATCGTCATGGGGTCATGCAGCCCAATGGTGTACAGCTGCACCGGTGCATTTCCAGGGGCTGCATCTCCAAAGGGACTTTGCAGCACCAGGAAAGGGCATGCAGAAAGCACCCCATGAAAAGGGGCCTGGAAAAGAGCGGGGGCCTGGGTGGATCCCCTTGAAGCAGCCCCCAGGCGAAAGGTTAGGGCACATACCAGCCCCTAGACGGGCATGGTAACCTGCCAGCCCCTGGGCGCAGCGCCTCTGGAGCTTGTGCCTTGGAGGCCTTGCCTGGGGGTCTCTGGGGGCACCAGGCTGGCTGCCCTGGGGGGCGGGGTGGCATGGGGGGCGTGACCTGATGCAGCGGGCAGGCTGGTCCTGCGGAACCGAGCAGGAGGAGGCGCAGCGACGCCTTTCCCAGCTGGGGCATAGTGGGAGGGGCGGCAGAAAGGCGCCCGCGCCCGCCAGCGAACAGCGGGCCGGGCGCTGGGGAAAGAGGCGCAGCTCAGCGGGCGCGCGCAGCTGCTTTGAAGACAGCAAGAGGTGAACTATCCCAACCGGGTTTGTTAAGCATCAGCAAGTTACAGGCCGTGCGAGTGAGCAGCGGCTGCCTGGCAGAAGCAAGGGAAAGCCCGTCCCTGTCCAATAGCACCGTGGGACGGACAGCCCCCCTCCCCCGCAGCACAACCAAGCAACCGCGAAGCGAGCCGGGGCCCCGCCCGGGGGGGCCACAGCTAAAGGCGAGAGAGGCCAGGCGCGCAGGCCGCTCCAGGCCCTCGGCAGGAAAGGCGCAAATAAATACGAAGCGGGGCTGCCAGCAAGCGAGCGCCCTCCCCCCCCCCAGCACGCGGCCCACACACCTCCCCGCGCTCCTCCACGCGGCAGTCCGGCGCGGGGGGCGGCGCGGGGGCCTCTGCGAGCGCAGGCGGGCTCGCCTCCTCCGCGTCCCACGCTGGCCGGGCGGGCGGCCCTCGTCACTTCCGCGTGTCCTTGCCCCTCTGCGAGAAGCGCTGCACGATCACCTTGCGGGCGCCCGGGCTGCCGCCACGCTTGCCACGACCGTAGCTGGGCGTGCTCGCCGAGACGGGTTCGAGGCCAGATCCTGGTTCCGGTTCTAGCAACGGAGGAGGGAAAAGCGGCGTCAGGGCCTGTCCTAGACCCTGGCAGCCCAAGAAACTGGTTTCGCCCCCCTGCGCACGTGTGTGCCTGGACATGTGTGTGCTTGCTTTTGTTTTAAGAACACGTTTCTGGTCCTCATGACTTTTTTGGTCCTCATGATGGGGAAGTGTGGATGGATTTTGTTAAGTGGGCTCTGCTGAACAAGACCCAGATGCTACTTAGGGATTGTGAAGAGTCTTCCCCCTCTACCCCCTCCCCCACGGGAAGTGACTTGTTTCTCCTGTCCTTGGTTGTTCAAGCGCAGAACACTCAATTGCATCACACATTCAGGCTGCAAAGTCTGGCTAAGGAGAGGGCCATTCGGAGCAGGGCCAGCCTCCCCACAGCCAGCAGAAGGGAAGGGTGCCAGGATGGATCTGGCTTGCAGCAAGGCCCGGGAATGAGCCGCCTTCCAGGTGTTGTGGGAGCTCAACCCCCAGTCCAGACAAGTTTGGGACCATGGTAATTATTCTCTGGCAACATCTGGAAGGCCATGGGCTCCTGTCCCCACCCCAATCTGCAACCCCCCAGATGTGCCGAGTGGGAGGCCACACGGTCCCACACCCAGACAGCCCAATTTCCTCTTGCGTCATGTCCTTCGGATTGTCAGCTGGTGGGCAGGAACTGTCTTATTACAGCATTTTAACAGCTGCTCTAGGAGCCTGTGTTGGGCCGGGGAGCAGCGGGGGAAGGCTGCACCTGGTTCCGGCCATTTTGCAAACCTGCACATCTTCGTCCCGTTGTCCTGCCACCTGTCAGGGGAGCTGGAAGGTTTGCCTTGGCACTCAGGCGGAGGGGAGAGAGCCAGGCATGCCCCTTTCCCCGCAAGTTCTGAGGTCAGAGGGTCTCCTCCCCATTAAGTCTCCCCCCACCCCCACGCGAGGGCAGTCATGGGTCAGGAGGGGCCAAACCATGCTAGAATCCCCCAAGGAATGCCTCCTCCGGGAGCGTAGGGGAACGCTGGCCGCTGTGGACGGGGCATGCAAAGTTCTGGGCACGGAGAGAAGGGAAGGCCCGCGGCTGCAGCGGGGATCTCCTTGCCGTGGGGTCTCTGGGCCAGCGGATGCATCATGCGGAGGAAGGACAGAGAGGGGGAAGAGGAGGGGGAAGCCTCGTGGCTTGTTACCTGGCCAGATGATAGCTTCCAGCAAGGTGACCCTCCTAGCCAGGAGCTCCAGCTGGGCCTGCTGCTCTAGGAAGCTTTGTAAGCTAATGGCCTGGTGGAGATTGAGAAGAGCAGAGTGCAAATTCATTCACGCCCCACACAGGGAGAGGAGGGGCGGGGGAACCAGAACGCCCAGGCCCTTCTGAGGGGTGTGGGTGTGGGGGGGATTCTGGGGTCCTGGAAGGGGCGAGAAACTGGACACAACTGCCCACCCCTCTGGCCTCTTCTTTCCCCAAAGAAAGAAGCTTGAGGCTTTCCAACCTGTCAGACGCCTAGCTCCGTCCACCGAGAAAAGAAGGGGTGGGGTGAGGTTGCCTTTTGCTCCCTTTCCACTATCAACAGGAAGAGGCATGTGTAGAACAATCGCGGGGGAATCTCTTAGCTCAGGGAAGACTCCTCTGCTAGGAGAGAGACGGTGCTGAGGCATCCGGTGCAACTGGCACAAGTCCTTGCAGCCCTTTGCCATCAAACAGAGAATGGGTGCACAGAAACACCCACCAGACTGCGGTTGTGGGCATCCGACACCCCACAAAACATCAGTGGAGGACAGCTTCCCTGACCTGGTGACCCCAGATGTACTGATCTACATGTCCCATGGCTAACTGAGGGGTACTGGGAATTGTGGTCCAACAGATCTGGTAGGGTCCAGGCTGGGGAAAGGTTAACCAGGCACTGTGAGGGGCGGGGGGGGGGGGGCTAACTGACAAGAGGCACAGATGAGACGTCTATCGCAGCAGACTCTGCATTCAAGAGACATATGTCTTTAAATGCCAGAGACTGGGGGACAAATGCAAGAGCGAGTCCTTTGTGTTGTGACTGTGAGTTTCTTAGCCGTTCCTAGAAAGAGAACACTGGGAGGTGAACTCGTGCTTTGATTCAGCAAGGAAATTCTTGGGTTTTGTGCAGTCTCCAGCACCAAACAGAGTAAGTGAAGCGGCTGCCAGTCTGGGGGAGTGGGCAACTCTAGAAAGGTTCCCCCCCCCCGACCTCCCCAACAGGCTGGATCTCGAAGGGAGCACGAGGTGGGCAAGGCTCAGGGCCCAGCAAGGTTCCCCTGCCCCAGGTCTCCCTGTGCCTGGAATCGCCCAGAACGGGGAAGCACAGAAGGCGGAGTGGCCCTACTGGCAGATCCCTGCATGACACTCCCCGATCCTAAATCATGCCATTAAAAAGAAGAAAGTGTGGGAGGGGGGACAGATAACCAGGACTGGAATTTGTCTGGAAGGACTATGAGCTCCATCCAGTTCTCCAAACATGTGCTGGGGCAGAGAATTATTTCGTAACATAGAAACAGAACGAGTCAGAAGGGGCATCCCGGGCCATCTCGTCTGACCTCCGGCACCAGCCGGCTCGGCTCACAACATGCCCACCATTTAATTCTACTCTTTTCCACCAGGTACTGGTTGGTGGATCTCAGGGAAAGGAGAGAGCCAGTAAAAAGCACAGTAGATCCCACAAGCTGAAGTTGGCACAGCCTCAGCCTGAAAGGCTGCAGGTCACACACTGAACCAGAGCCGGACTTCTTGGGTTAAAGATTCCCTGTTTCAAGAGCTTCCCACTTCCCCAAGTTCTGGAGACATACGGGTTGTCCACCCTCCTCGATTTACAGTGCTGAAAGCTCCATGGGAAAAGCGTGGAGCAAACACAGGACAAAGGAGCCTTCCACATCTGGGGCCCTCCAGATGTTTTGGGCTACAATCCCCATAAACCACAATGGCTATGATGCCTGGGGATGATGAGAGCTGCAGTCCACCATAAAACGATGCTCTTCAAATACTCCTTATATTGCTTGTAATGGCTGTGGTTTTGGTTAGCCGTTAGGCTGCGATCGCTTGCACACTTACCTGGGAGTAAACCTGCTAGGACTTGATGGGACTTACTTCTGAGTAAACGCTACTAGGATCGCTGTGTCAAGAGTCTGAGTGCAAACCAGCCATGGTTCCCTCTGCTGCCCTCAGAAGTCCCTTCTCAGCAAATGCCAAGCACACCATGGCTACCCTCATAACGACAGCCACAAAAAAGCCACCGCATTGCTTTCCCCAGTTTAGTGTCCCCGAGCATGTGCGGCATCTTGCATACGCTCAGGACGGGCCACTGCCCTGTAATCTGCCCACACCTGAAATCAGATTTCGTAACACTTCTCCACCCCCCCCGCCCCAACCAAAAAGAAGAAGATTAAATTAAGGGGCATTTCCAGATCTCATGTTTTTGGATGCCAAGCCGGATCTGAAAAGGCAGCTCCTGCAGCGGAAAATGTGGCTATGTGCTGGTTCTGGTAGCCTAATCGTAAAAAGCACGGACTGGGAAAGGATGCCAGGCAGCCCGTGTGAAGGTGGGGCCGCTAAGCAATCCCAGGGTAAGAAAATCTGACCCGGTGGGGGAAGGCTTGTTGCCCCCCTCGGCCTTGCTTCCACTGCCAATGTAATGTGGGCGCAGCTGACCTGCGGCTGTGGAGCAGGCCCAGCCGGCCGTTCCAATCGGCATGGAGGTGGGGGGGTTGCAAGACCCTGCTTTCCCCGGTGGCAGCCCCAGGGAACCAGCCTCTGGGTCCTTGGGCCTGGCCTTCCCCAGCCCGGTGGCTGAGCCGGCGGGGAATGAGGGGGCTGCCGCCCTCCCCCTCTGCTGGCCATGTGGGCGGCCGGGGGTGGCTAGCAGGTGAGCACAGCTCAGCCGTCTGGCCACGATGCCACTACAGACACCTCCACCCCGCCCCAATTCCAGCCCTAGTCCACCCCACAGAGCCGGTAGCCACAGACGGTGGCCCGCTGTGGGGGGGCAGCCCACCCCTTGCAGAGGTCCCCTGGCAGGCTATGCCCAGCCCATCCTGCACGGTGCTGGATCCCACCGGCCCTGCACCCTCCTGCCTGGGAGACACTCTCTTCCTCTCTGCCACTACTCACCATGCAGCCCAATCATTGTTTCCAAGATTAAAACCCTCTCAGCTAAAATCTTCAAAGCCTCTCGAAGCTGGTGCAACCCCTCCCCCTGCGGACGAAAGAGACAGACACAGCGGTGAAGGGCACGCGCGCGCGCACGCACGCACACAGGCGCGAGGGGTGCAAGGAGCAGGGGGGCGGGGGCGTCAGCCTTCCCTCCATACCGCCCCCCCCCGCTTGTTGCACCCGCGGCCCCCGCCCGGCCCCTGCGGCTGTGCAAGGCACGCGAGTGCAATTAGGAAGACAAGGAGACCCGTCCTTGCAAGAGAGTGGCTTAGCAAGTGCCATGCATTTTCAGCCCTGCCAGGGTCGAGCAGGCAGGCGTCCGGAGGGCGGAGCTTGCGGGGAAGTGGGCATGGCCAGGGCTGGGGGGCACACTCAGCTAGCAGGGGGACAGGAAGGGCATGCTGGCCAAGCCCCCTCCGCTCCTAAAACCGGCGCCGCGCTCATACTGGCTGTCCCTCGTGAAACTAGAGCTGGAAGGACTGCAGAGGCCACATAGTCCACCCCCTGTCAACACAGTCTCTGCCGCCGCCGCCGCCGCAGCATCCCGCCTGGAGGCGCTCTGGCCTCCCCCTGCCCTTGCCGATGCCACTGAGACGGAGACCATGCGGCTGCCGCTCAGCACCTGCGGGGCGAGTCCGAGCCCTTGCGGAGTGCCAGCTGCCCCCTCTCTGGGCCAAAGGTGAGGTCCAGTACGGCGGGGCGTGCAGGAGAGCTGGGGGAGGCTGGATGGACACCAGCTGGTCTTCTCAGCATGGCTCCGCCTTCCACCCACAATGCCCACTGTCCCCCAGCAGTATGTGCAATGCTCCGCAGGCTGAGGCTGATGGGTATTGTGGTCCACCATGGTCAGGAGGGCCCATGGCGGCAGAAGACTGCTCTCAGCTAATTTCCCCTCCCCACACATGCCTCTGCCAGGCACGGGGCGTCCCACCATTTGGACCTGGAGGGGTGGCTGGAGGGCCTGCGCGACAAAACCCAGAAGCCTGGCTCTATGGCTCCAGGGCAGTCCGTGCGTGACCCAGGCCAGCCGCCCCCGCCAGGCTGGGACATTACAATTCCTGCTGGACAAAGGCAGTCACGCAGCTGGGCAGCTCACCAGCCGCCACGGCCTCGCTTCCCTCCGTGGCCAATCCTTTGCTCACCGCAGGAGTCCTGGTGAAGGCATCCCTGGCAGATGGCTGCACAGTCACAACCGGAAAGCTCCAGCTGCTCCACCAGCACTGCACCGCGGAAGCTTCTCCCGGGGTTCCCCCGGCTCTGCCTTAAGCACACCGTTTAGTGTCCTGCGGCGCTGGATGCCAAGAACCGGCTCCACCACAGTCCTTCGCAGCCTTGCAGGATGTTGTGGGCCAGCTCAGTCTTCTCCACAACTCGCTCTTTGGTCCTGGTCCCCCGATCATCTCTGCTGCCCTTCTCTGAACTCATTCCAGCTGCACTGAATCCCTTTGAAGTGAGGCGTCCAGAAATGGACACAGTGAGGCTGGACCAGTGCAGCCTTCCCGGGACACAGAAACTGCATTTCCACTGATGCAACCCACAATTTCATTTCCCTTTTGGCAACCACATCACACACAGCTAATTCATATTCACCATGGGATCAGCTCTGAGGTCCTTTCCACATGTGTCTGGTCAAGCCAGTTACCTCCTTTCTTATAAGCAAGCATTTGGGTTTTCTTTCCTAAGTGAACTTTGCACCTGTTAAATGTCATTGTTATTTTCTGCCTCGTTTTCTAACCTATCAAGGTTGTTTTGTATTCTATTTCTGCCTTCCAAAGCATTAGCTGTCCTGCCCAGTTGTGTCATCTATGAATTGGAGAAATATTCCCCACACACACACCTCTTCCTCTGAGCCACTAATAAAAATGGCGAAGAGTGCAGGGCCCTGGACGAGGCCCTCCAGCGCCCCACTCAATACCTCCCTCCAGCTGGATGCGGGACCATGGAGGAGCCCTTCTCCAGTGTATTTCTCCAGCCAGCTACAGGTCCACCTGGCAGTAGAGTCACCCAGCCCAAGTTTAACTAGCTGATATCCTAACCATCAGAATATCACAGAGCACTTTGTTAAATGCTGTGCTGAACTCACAGCAATCTGCTAAGAAAGCTACCGGAT